TAGCTGCTTCTGCCGCTGCAGTTGCCGCAGCTGCGTCGGGGGGACTGGACGGGGGAGGCCAGCGGGCTGGCGAGGTCCTCGTCGGGGACCTGGCTCGGGTCCTGCAGCTCCTGGATGAAGTAAGCCTCGCCGGCGGCGCCCAGCTTCATGGACAAAGAAGTGGGTTTGCTGTTGACAGCTATGGAGACCACTTTCTCCCGCGAGCGCAGCAGCTTGGCCTTTCCGAAGCGCACGTGGAAGGGCGTGGACTGCAGCTGTCCAGACACCGGACAGCGCACGCACACGATGTCGATACACCCGCTCAGCGTCGCCTGGTTGAAGTCCAGCGCGCTGCTCACGCTGCTCACGATCCGGCCCCACATCGCAGCAGCAGCAGCAGCAGCAGCAGCAGCAGCGGGGAGGGGGGGTTGGGGGCGGCGGCGGCGCGGGAGCCGCCTCGGACTGCTGCTGCTGCTGCTGCTGCTGCTGGGGGGGCAGGGGGGCGGCGAGGCGCTCGCGCAGCGGCAAAGTGGGGACGCCGCGCGGGCGGGGCTCTGCGGGGCTCTGCTGCTGCAGCGGCAGCAGCAGCGGCTGCAGCTGCAGCGGCTGCTGCTGCTGCGCTGCCGGCTCGGGCGAGACTGCGGCGGCGCCCCTTGCTCTTCCTTCTTCGCAGCAAACGGGACGCAAAGAGCTTCGCTAAAAAGAGTTCTGCAACCTCAACGAGTTGTGCCCGCGAGGTGCCCCTTGACGCCGCGTGTTGCTGCTGCTGCTGCTGCTGCTGCTGCTGCTGCCGTCGCCACCTTCACACACCACCCCGAATGCGATTAAAAATTGGGCAGCCTCCGTGATGTTCTCCGCCCTGTGACAAACTTCAAACCCTAAACCCTCGTTCGATACCCTAAACCCTAAACCCTAAACCCTAAACCCCGACACGCCGCTGCGGAAGCGGAAGCTGCAGCCCAGCCAACAGCAGCGCAGCGCGCAGCGCCCCAGCAGCAGCAGCTGGGAACTTGGCCACAAATAAGTTAGTTCAAATTATAAATAATACTTTATATTCTAAATAATATAGTTATTCAAATTATTAGTTTTCCAAACTTCCCAGCGAGGAAGTCGGCAACCCCTGCTTCCCTTGCTGCTGCTGCTGCTGCTGCTGCTGCTGCTGTCGGCTTAGCCGGGGCCCCCTATACCGAACTCAAGTTATAGTAGAGCTCGCAGCTTCTTCACAGCAACAGCAGCAGAAGCAGAACCAGCAGCAGCACACTGCTAAGCCGTTCTAAGCACACGCCAGAAGAAGCAGCAGCAGCGCCCTGCTGCAGCGCCTCAAAGCGAGAGCAGCAGCAGCAGCAGCAACAGCAGTTGTTAGTCAAGCGGGTCAGCAGCAGCAGTACCTCTAAATGCTGCATCAATAAACTGCTGCGTATCTTGCACGTAGTGCAGCAAACTTAGGCGGGGGCTGCTAGTGTTGCTGCAGCAGCTGCAGCAGCACATTAAGAGTTGCAAATAGGATTTAAAAGTATTTCTTTTTTGCAAATTTTTGCAAATTAAATTTGCAGAAAATGGCCAAAGTCGGAGATGTTGTTTACAAAATTACGGAAGCGCAAGCCAACTGTTTCAAGACGGCCTTTGGCATTTTCGACACCGACGGCGACGGCTACGTCACTCTCGAGTCTGTCATTCGTTTTGCAAAAAAGAAATTAAATTCTCTGAATTAATTAAAATAAAACAATTTAAATCCAATTCTCTCGCTGGGAACTGGGAACTACCCGCATAGGATCATGCAGATCTTCAGGCGGGCGAAACCTTTTGCAAATGAAATGCAAGAAACTCGAGGCCGCTGCAGCAATGGACGTGTCCACTTGGACTTTCATTCCGCATTAAACATTTAGACTTGTTTGAAAACATTTGCGTCTTTATATGATCTATTATAGAATTATTTTAATGAAGACTTCGGGCGGAGAGTTCAGGCGGTTTCGCTCGCGGTTTCGGGTGTACAGACACCTCGCTGCACCGCCGCTCTCTGCAACAACAGGAAACTAAGGGCCCCAAAAGGGTCTTTCGGGCTCTTTTTGCATGCAATTTTTTCAGAGAATTTGCAAAACTCTTCCGCTCTGTTGGCCAGTCACCTTCGGAGGCCACTCTGCGAAAAATCGCCGAAAAATTCGACCCCGAAGGCTCCGGAAAGCTGGGACTGCACACGTTTCTGAGCATTTGCGAGTCGGAGTTCTTTGAAGAGTCCATGAAGGAGGAAAAGCTCTTAGAGTGTTTTCGCGTTTTCGATCAAGATGCAATTGGAAAAATAAAAACTACAGAACTCCGATTCATTCTTCAGCAAATTGGAGAGCCTCTTTCCGACGATGAAGCAGACAAATTCATCGAATGGGCTCTCAAAGTAAGACATCCTGGGCCTGCTGCTGCACAGGAAGCCCCGTCACTTGCTGCTGCTGCTGCTGCTGCTGCTGCTGCTGCTGCGGCTGCTGCTGCTTGTCCTGCTGCTCTGGCGGCTGCTGCAGCTGCTGGGCTCGCTTCTTCAGCTTCTGCAGCTGCTGCTGGGACTGCTACTGTGGGAAATAGAGCTACAGCAAATCCGCATAAAGTAATAGTTCTGCTGCTGCTGCTGCTGCACCAGCGCCAGCAACAGCAACTTTTTAGTTCGGCAGCGCAGCGCGAATCAACTTGCTTCTGTGCCTGAAATCGATAAAATGAGGAGCTTATTTTTCACCGGCCGCAAGCGTTTTTTTATTCAATGCTCTTGCTGCTGCTGCTGCTGCTGCTGCCGCTGCTGCTGCTGCTGCAGGTGCCTGAAGCAGTTTCAGATGGGGGCATGATAAACTATGACGTGTTGGCGAGAGAGTTGCTGAATCGCGACCCGGATGTGTTATAAAAAAGAAAAGAATTTGAAAAGAAAGTTTTGAATAAATAAACAAATAAAGCAAAAGTAAAACAATTGCAATTTAGAATGCAAATTCTTTTTTGAAATCCAACCTAAAAGAAGAAAGAAGAAGCATATGAAAAGAAAGCTTTGAATAAATAAACAAATAAAGCGAAAATAAAATAATTAGAATTTAAAGTGCAAATTCTTTTTCGAAATCCAATCTGAAAGAAGCAAGTAAAAAAAGGAAAAAAAACTGAAACGTACACAGCCACAAATCAATGCATATGAGACTTTGCATGCAAATGAGATTTTGAATGGGAAAAACTAAACAAATGCAAGTTAATTTAATCACAAAATTAATTCAAAAATAAAAAATGCAAAAAATGAATTATGAAACAAAGGTCTAATTTCTTTACGTTTTCAATTGTGCACTCGTTGAAGAAGTACAACACATGCATTTTATGTAAGTGCATTTATTTTTAAATAACAAACGAGCATATATTTAAATCTAATTTTATATTTCGATATATATTTAAATATAAGTACATGTTTTAAATATATATATCTAAATATATAATTGGATATAAATATATGTTCATTTATTATAAATATATGAAAAGCCTTAATTCCCTGTAGTTGTAGGGCTGCAGACACTGCAAAGAAGTTTCAAATTGAAATAAAATAAAATTTCAAATATTTCAATTTCACGCAAAATGCACTTTTTGGGATTTTTTCGTTTACAACACAAGTTAATGCATGCGCTTTTTAATGCATTAAAAGTGAATTTAAATCAATTTTATTTTATTTTTTTGGAGCAGAATTTGCATAGTAACATTATGCACCAAATAGGCAAATGCAGAATAATATAATGTATTCATAATATGAAAAGAAACATAAATATAAACGTAAACATAGATATAAATATGAGTGCAAATATAAACATAAATATAAATATAAATATAAATATAAATATAAATATAAATATAAATACAAATATAGATGTAAATATAAATATAGATGTAAATATAAATATATATAAATATATATATAAATATAAATGTAAATATAAATATAAATATAGATATAAATATAGATATAAATATAAGTGTAAATGTGAATATAAATATACGCATAAATATAAATAATCATATAAGTATACATATAAATACACATATAAATATAAATATAAATGTATATACATGTACTATTTATTTCGTGCGAATCTGGCATGATGTTCTCTTCATGAAGATACGCTATTTCACTTGTAGATTTTGGAAAATAAACACTCTTTGCGTTCTTTCGCTGCTGCTGCTGCTGCTGCTGCTGCTGCACCTGTCTTGTGGTCAGCAGCAGCAGCAACTGCGCGCTTAACAGCAGCAACAGCGCAGCACCGGCAACAGCAGCAGAAGCCACAGCCACAACCACACAGCAGCAGCAGCAGCGTTTTACTTCCATCTCGGAGCTTTGAATTCTACTAAACAATAAAAGCTGATAAAAACTAAAACCTAGTTGCTGCTTGAAAATGAACAGGACGGTGGCAGCTGCTGCTGCCCTTGCTGCTGCTGTTGCTGCTACTGTTGCTGCTGCTGTTGCTTAGCCCTATAAGAAAAGTATATTTATTTATTTTTGTTGCTTCAAAGCTTTGCCGCCAAAGTTTGTCGTGGCGACCGCACTGTGCTGAGACACTGTCCAGCACAGTGTCGCGATGCCCAAGGGTTTAGGGTTTGTGGTTTAGGGTTTAGGGTTTACGGTTTAGGGTTTAGGGTTTAGGGAGGCGGTAGAAGCGCGAGGCTGGGGGAGCTGCATCTTACTGAGCTTCTAGGGTTTAGGGTTTAGCGAATAACCCTAAAGGATGCAGCAAACATGAAAATATGCTGCAGCGAAAGTGCAGCCACAAGAATTAGGTGACTGCGCAGCAAAATAAATATGAAAAAGGAAAAAGCAAAAGATGCACCTGCAGCGTAATCTAAAATGCAGAGCAGCGTATCGCGCTGGGTGCTGCAGATGCGCAACCCAGCAGCAGCAGCAGCAGCAGCAGCAGCAGCAGTGGCAAGCAACAGGAGCGGAAGCAGAAACAGCCGCAGCTGGAGCTGTCTTGTGCACTCTCTGAACTCAAATGTTTACAATAAACACTGCATGCAGAAGGAGTGAGCCTCAAATACAAATAGAGGGGGACTAGATGAGGTGGAGCTCCACAAGCAGCTGCTGCTGCAGCTGCTGCACGAGCTGCTGCTGCAGCTGCTGCTGCACCTACTGTTGCAGTGGCTGCTTCAGCTGCTGCTGCAACTGCTGCTTCAGCTGTTGCTGCAGTGGCTGGTGCAGCTTCTGCTGCAGCAGCCGCAACAGCTGCTGCAGTGGCTGTTGCGGCAGCTGCTGCAGCTGTTTGCCTGTGGACCACTGGTGACCACTGCAGCGAGCCAAGTAACCAGCGGTCAAGGTGAGTGCAGGCCAGCTGAGGCTGAGTCAGCAGCAGCAGGGAAAGCAGCAGCAACTCATGTGGAGAAAAGGAATTGAAAGAAACAACAAAGTAATTCGTAGCAGCAAAAAAGAATTAAAATTTAAAAAGAAAAACTTAAAGAGAGCCATCGGAGTTTGCCTCATCTTCAAGAAGTGACTCTGGGGGCAGCGTCTTGTCGAGGCCATTTAAGAGTTCATGAACTTTTTGCCTGAGCTCTGTGTTGGCAGCAACGGCTTTGGCGAGCTGCTGCTGCAGCTGCTGCTGCTGCTGCTCGTACTCCCTGCTGAGCTGCTGCTGCCGCTGCTGCTGCTCCAGCAGCCGCTGCGCTGCTGCTGCTTGCCGCCGGTCTGCTGCTTCCTGCAGCCGCGCCACTTTGGCCTCAGCCAAAGCTGTGAGGCTTTCGCAGCGTCTTTTGGTATCAGCTGTTTCTTTTTCAGCTTTTTTTTTGACTGCATCTCTATCTGCTTCTGCTGCTGCAAGTCTTGCTGCAGCGTCGGCGAGCTGCTGCTGCTGCCCGCTGCAGGCCTCCTGCAGTTGGTCCAGCTTCTGCTGCAGCAGCGCGAGTTCCTGCTGCAGCGACAGCCGGCCAGTCTCTGCTGCAGCAAGACTGTCTTCGAGCTGCCGCTTGGCAGCAGCAAGTGCTGCAGCTTTTGCTGCTGCTTCCTTGTTCTGCTCGTGCAGCGCCTCCTTGAGCCGCGTGGCCTCAGCCTCAGCAGCAGCATGCGCCTGCTGCTGGTGCTGCTGCAGCGTCTGGAAGTGTTTGACTGTTGAAGCGAGCTCGGCCCGCGCTTGTGCTGCATCTGCTGCTGCTGCTGCTGCGCGCCTCTCTGCTGCTTCCAGCTTCACTGTGGCTTCCCCGTGAGACTGCTGCAGCGACTCCAGTTGCTTCCTCAAAGTTTCCCCAAGACCTTCTGCTTGAAGTGCTCTTTTCTCTAAAGTTTCTCCTTGAGCAGCTTTTATAATTTGCAGCTCCGTTTCGTGCTGCCCGCGCAGCTGGTCCAGGTGGCGCTGCAGCAGCGCAGCACTTGCTGCTGCCTTCTCTTTCTCCACCACCAGCGCATGCAGCTGCTGCGTGGTGCTGTCGAGTTGCTTTTTTGTGTCTTCTGTTTCTTGCATCTGAGCTGCCAGCCGCTGCTCCAAGTAGTCCGCCACTTCTTTAGCTGCTGCTGCTTCTCTTGCTGCTGCTTCTGCGTGCTGCTTGAGGCCGTCGAGCTGCTGCTGCAGCGTGGCTACCGCAGCTGCGGCGGCGCGCTCGCGTTGCAGCTCCTCGTTCTGCTGCTGCTGCTGCTGCTGCGCTTCCCGCAGCGCGGCAGCCAGTTTCTCTGCGTCTTTTTCCTTGGCCTTCAGCTTCTTGTCCAGCTCCGCGTTTGCTGCTGCTGCGTCCCGCAGCTGCTGCTCCTGCTGCGCCACAGAGTCCTCCAGCCTCGCCAGCGAATGCTCTTTTGCTGCTACTGCTGCAGCACGGCGCTCCGTCTCGGCCACCACTGCCCGCATTTCCTCCAGTGCTGCTTCACTTTGCTGCACATGGCATTTCAAAAGATGGTTTTGACTCAGCAGCACTTCACTTTGTTCAGAAGTGAGGCTGTAGAGTTCTTCCAGTTCGTTTCGCTCCTGCAGCAACGTTACGTAGGTTTTGCTGCAGCCGCTGCTGCTGCCGGGGGCCCCCGAGGCCTCCGCCTCGAACAGCTGCTGCAGCCGTTCCGTTTTGCTGCGCAGCTCTTCAGCTAGCTGCTCGTTTTCCCGTGTCACTCCTGCCACTTTTGCGCTGAAACTTTCAATAATTCTTTCTTTTTCTTTTGTTTCTTCTTGAAGTTCTGCGATCCGTTCGTCGTAAGCAGCAAGCAGGGGGCTCACGAGCTGCATGTTCAGGCACCAGGGCGGTAGCGGCAGCGTCTCAGCTTGCTGCTGCAGCTCTGCTGCTGCAGCAGAAGGCTGCGCAGCAGCGTCCCCGCTACTGCTACCAGCAGCAGCAGCAGCAATGGCCTGAGCCAAACGCGCGCTTCGCAGCTCCTTCGTTACGCGCTCAGCGTAGCCCCTCAGGCTCGTATTTTCCTGCTGCAGCCGCACCAGCTGCTGCATCAGAGCCAGCTCTTGGGGCTGCAGCCTTGCTGCTGCTGCAGCAGGCGGCCTACGCTGTGCTGCCCCCGCGGGCCAGCCACCACTAAGTAACTGCTGCAGCTGCTGCGGATGCAGCTGCTGTTGCTGCACCTGTTGCTGCTGCAGCTGTTGCTGCTGTAGCTGTTGTTGCTGCAGCTGCTGCTGTAGCTGTTGCTGCTGCAGCTGCTGCTGCTGCACGTGTTGCTGCTGCAGCACCTGCTGCTGCATTACTACTGACACCACCAACTACGGGCTGAAAGCTAGTTGTAGTGCATGCGCTTGACCTTGTGTTGCCGAAGGGCCCTAAATAGATTCTGACTACTTGAACTAAAGGACTTTCCTACCTCAGCTTTCCCCGTTGCTGTGTCGCTGCCCAACACCAGGGCAGTTGGGCTGCATCTGTGGACATCTGCGCAGCCAAAATTGGAGAGTTACATTTAAAGTGTTAATGCAGACATTTTAAGGCCAATTAAATACCTAAAATAAAACTGGAAACGAGAGCGCCCGTCACCCAAGTGGGAGGGTCCGCACGTTCTGCTGGCATTATCCGTTCTGTGCAGCCTCATGCGAGATCTGGCCTGTGATCTTCTGGGCTTAATATAATTCTACCTTTTTTGAGGCTAAACTGAAAAGCTCATGCGGGATGCGCTAGACGCGCGGGATTTGGCAGTCTTGGAGTACATGCACCTGATTGAACGCTCTGCATGCAGTAAGCCCTGTAGTTTCTTGGTCGGAATTCAACTACTAGCATTGCAGTTATTTCGGAAATAATGCCTTTTCTAGATGCTAGAAGCCTGTTGCTTCTTGTCTTGTAATATCTGGCGCAGCGTCTTAACCCGGCATAGGGAGCATCCTAGGCTTAGCAGGTCACCTCAGTCAAGCTTGATATTACTCACCTGCTAGAGTTTCTATACCATAAAAAAACACGCATTAGCTCTCTTTTGTTCATTTGAAGAAAACAAGAAAACCAATAATGTCTCGGGTGAGTGAAGGGTAGAGACCGCCGCGTTAGTAGTCCAGGGGTAGGATGCAACCCTCCCAAGGTTGCGACCCGGGTTCGAGTCCCGGCTGACGCACTCTTCCAGGTTTGTAACTCTTCTCAGGAGGCATCGATGTCATCTTTAGTTCCTGTATAGGCTTTTTGAATGTAAATAGCACTCAATATCATTCCTAGCACAAGCGAAGGTCATGGTGAAGCTGCAGCGGTTGAACAGATACGCTAGGGATGGTCTTTCCAACTAAGTACTTCGTGAATACTATGGATGTTACATTGTGGGCGGCACTATTGCCGTTGATAGATCCCTTACGCAGTTCTTTCAAATTAACGGAAGATCGAAAGCTGGAGCAGGCGCTGAGAAAGCATTAGCAGCCTTCCCTGTTCGTAGTTTCAAATCACTGTGACTGCTACATGGTCTGTGCGCTATTTTCCCCCTTCAACAGTGCCGCTACATTACACCATCAGCCACCACCACTGAAATGCGACAGGAAACTTCATTATCCCTCAAAAGTTGAATGGCTACTCGTCGTGTGGGCCTGACCTCTGCCGCTCATGCAACACGATGCCCCTGTAGCTGTTTCAGTGCAAAATAGACTACTGCCCGTCTCATACAAATACTGAAGCAGTGAAGGGTCTATCTACTTTATGTCAAACGTGCACAGTTCCCTTGGCTTTATCTTGAGCAGAGAATGGTTCCGAAGAACTAGATTTGCACCCGATCAAACACTAGGGTCTTCAAAAATACTTTGGAAGTGCCATCACATTACAGAACCGCCAAAAGTAGTCATTGACGTCACTAGACGAAATTTGCGTTGTGGAGATGTACACTGAGTTGGCTTCAGCATTCTCATCCAGACCTCACTAGCGTCCTTGCAAGCACCATCTGCTTTTCCTTGCAAAGAAGCTAGTGAAACTAAGATAAGATGTCATCCAACTACAAGGACACACGCATTGCACTTTGAAAAACCACTTGGAGACCAGGAAGGCAAATATATTGAAGACTGTGTATTTCAGAAAGTTGCAGCACCCAGCCACGTGCTTTTGATGGGAAAAACGAGTTGTACGTTGAAGCTTGTCCAGCTAGTGTAACAAGCTCTTTGCAGCCAATGCATTCGGGCATTTCACCTGACGTCAACAGAACTAAGAAGGCTGGGAAACGCCAGCTTCTGCTGCGGCGGGCTCTGTACTCTTTGCTCTGAAAAATGCGGCCTCATAAGGCTCACAAGTTTCTGCATGACAGCTTGTCGCATGTGCTTTAGTCGCTGCAGCATCTGTCTTCTGCTCCTGCGTGCCACAAGCCTGCACGCTTCCCGAGCCTCCTAGCCATGCCTGGGTGACTTTCTGACAGAGCGTCTTGGCCGCAAGTTCACGCTCACTTGAATTCTGGAAGGTGCCTGAATAAAAGTACGAACATCCTTGAAAATCTTTCGCTTTGGACAGACACTAAACTTCGGTTCCTGTTTCTCCAGAACGCCACGAATTGCTCTGCTGAAGAACCAGCTATGCCTCTGACTTATCAAAACGTTACCTTTGTAGCCACCCGCAATAAGGGTCATAGGCTAAACAATTTGTATGCGGAGTCACGCATAGACATGTATAGAGGCCATGCATAGACAACGATGCTTGTTCTTCCAGCCCATAACAGTCCACCGTACAGACCTGTGGCTTCCCGTTTAGCGTTTTCTTTTGCTATTCTGTCCAGAGCCAGCTTGACTTTCTGTCGGTGCTCTTCCTGCACATTTCACCAGTCAGCATCGCATGTATTTTTATAGCTCTACTGACCGGTTCCACCATTCCGTTCTTCATCTGATGGTCTTATCGAAGGGTTACTGGAAAGTGCACCTGCAGCCGCCTCAGTGTCGAAACGTGGCCTCGTAGGATTTCTTGTTCTCGCTCGCGGTGAGCTTGGACAACCTTTTGTTCCTCTTCCCAACCACCTCTGAACCAGGCGATTGCTGCTTCGTGGTCCTGTTCTTTAACTGGGCGCTCGTCCAGGAACCGCAGCGCTTGCAGGTCTGGGAGCATCAGTTGCAAGCAGATTTCAGTACGACAACGGAAATAGCTTCTAAATAAGTTTGAGGCAGCTCACATCAGGTGCGAAAAAGAGGTTGACGTGTATGAAATCCGGGAACGCTTGGAATGTTGAGCAGCTGCCTATTAAGGGTTCTCGCGATGCTTGTGTCACTGCACCCCACTCGCAATGAGAGTCCGACGGTACTGCGTGATTTGGCTCGTCACTGGATTTCCCATTAGGTAGAGCGAAGCAAGACCAGGCAAGGCCTTGAAACACTCCACAAATTTAGCGGCTACTTTTTCGGCAGACGCAACATTTGGTGGCTCAGCAACGGCTGTATGAGATTCACGGTGGGGAGTGGCGAGTGAGGTTGTTTCTTGCTGCTTTTCCCTCTGGTCTTTCGAAGACAAAGCATCACTTAAGGGGGCTTTGTTTTGTTTATCTGATCCTTCACAGATCCCCATTTTGTTGTCTTCTTCCTCTGGAGCTTCTGAAGGCTCAACAGTTGGCGGTGAGGTGCCGTTTCCCCTTGCTTCTAAGCTGCACAGCATTCCACCGTCACTGTGGAGGCATAAATAATTGTGGGATAGATCGACGTTTGTTAGGCTCGGACACCTGGTGAGCTCCAAAATGTCCTGCAGAATTTGAGCAGCACCCAAACAGTCGCACTTTTAAATCGTTTCTCTTATGTTGGAGATGAATTCTTTCTTGACTCACTGTCAGTGATGTAAGCTTGTTACGGGCTATCTTGAAGCATGAGAGCTTGCTAAGCTTTTCAAGGCCTTCGATGCGCGAAATGCTGTTCTCGGATAGCTCCAAAGTGAGTAATTCGGGGCAGCATTCAAGATTTTCGATTCGCGTTAAGCCGTTTTGCTCTAAAAACCTAAATTAAAAAGCACCGAATCGGGGTGTTACTCATGCTGTCAGGCTCTCAAACAGTCACCCTTAAACATCGCCACACAGTGTTTAATTGCTGGCATCCACTGTGAACGGGGCAGGAAAATGCGTAGGCAAGATTCATGCCTGGTGTCAGCTGTCTCACAAACATTTTAGCTTCGAGAGGGGGTGAAGGTTTTCTATTCTACGTAGGCTGTTTCCGCCTAGCCAAAGAGCCCGCAATTCTGTGTACTCTTCAAGATTTTCAATTTTTTTGAAACCACGGCGATGTAAAAATAGCTTTTCATTCAAGATTGGCCTGTTGTACAGTCCCGTCTCTGTTGAACAAGACAATAGGGAGCGGCCGGAAATCCGACATTCGCAAAAGTGTGCAGATGGTTTCTAACGTCTGTATATTCTCAGAGCCTGTTAGTTTTAAATAAAGCCATGTTACGGTAGGTGTACCACGACAAATTTTCCGGATTATCTCTTTTGTCATCTTCGTTTCGTCCTTTTCTGGCGTTTCGCTTTTTAGGGCTTTATGAGGAACCCCCTGTAGGCTTAGCGTGGTCGCGCTGGCAACAGTGCTTCCATTTCTGGTTCCTTTGTGATCTTTAAAAAGCGCCTCTGTGCCTTCCTTTTTCTCCATTTTGTGCTTCCTGTGTTTCATGGGATGCACGGGAGCCAGTTGTGAAGGATGCTCCCCGCTATCTAAAACAACGCTTCCATTTATTAAAAATTTCCCTTGTTTGGTAGACTAAGGGGCAACTGGCCGAATTTCAACAGGGCCTCATAGCAGGAAAGGCCAAAAGGAACCTCGAGCTGCCCGCCGAAAGTGGAGCAGTATCAGGATAATGGAAACAAGGTTCAAGTTTAAGCACCAGAATTACTAAAGTTAGTTAAATTAGCTGAAGATCAGTAATGTTTTGCTCCGTGACTCCAGATATTTCCGGACTCGGCGTACAACAAATGGCAAGTGTGAAAGCTGGACAAAGCGTCGATCTGCCTGTCTCACCGACTACAAATCCATTCAAAGATTTGCTGTGCAAATAATCCGCTATCAGAGTAAAAAGCTAGGAAAAAGAGTCAATGGCTTAATGGATGGACAAAGGCGACGTCGTGAGACCTATCATGCAATCTGCTGGCACGTTCGGTAGTTACCAGCAGCCTTCAGACCTTTCTGTCGAATCATAAGATTGATGCAACCCTTTATCACGCAGTGACCCTAAATTTGCTTTTTTGTTCGCCGGTTAATTCAGCTGTTGCTGAAATACCCCACTTTCACAGGCACAGGTTCATTACTCCTCCACGTGCTGAAGATGATAAAAGTGAGACGTAATG